CGAACCCGACGTACGCCGCCATCGCCCAAAGCGAACCATCCGGAAAAGACACGTGGTTCTTGGACAGCTGCTGCGGGCAGCACATGTGTTCTTCGGGACGCTTCGTGCAACGAGAATACCAGCTTTAATGCGAGCAGCCATCACCGTCGCCAACAATCAGAACCTGCGCACACGACGACAAGGAATCGTCCAACTTCAGTCACGTGAAACGAACGTCATCTTGCAAATGTCCAAGGTTTTAATCGCAGAGGGCTTGGGCTACAACTTACTGAGCGTCAGCCAATTGATGGCGAAGGGCATCCATCTTGAAGCAGACAGCACAACTCAGGAGTTCAAGCTGTACCACGGGAGAGGAGGCCTCTACATCGGGAAGGCGGTCCTCAAGAACAACGTCTTCGTTCTTGACTTCGTTCCTGATCTTGGCACGGCCGACAGCGACGCCATCGTAAACTTCACCAACTGGACACATCCTCCGGATCTTGATCCAGACTTCAGTCCGGGCGGCTTCTGGTACTCACACACCATTCCTGAAACAGAGAGAACAAGAGCGTTAGCAACGATTCAACGGTCGGCAGCAGCAGAGACAACATCGGCAGCAACAGAGACAACATCGGCAGCAGCAGAGACAACATCGGCAGCAGCAGAGACAACATCGGCAGCAGCAGAGACAACATCGGCAGCAGCAGAGACAACATCGGCAGCAGCAGAGACAACATCAGCAGCAGCAGAGACAACAACAGCAGCAGCAGGAACATCAACACCAGTCGCCGGTCCTTCAACGGCACCGCCCTTCATCGACGACACGCCACCGACACCCGCGCAGCAGCTCAACCCGGCACGACGAGAAGTCCACCGAAGCGCAAATGTTACCGCTGGCTTCTACTCCAACTCCGATATGTACCGCCGCTCACCCGGACACCGCGCCAGCAAGGGAATCTGGCACGCAAGAATGGGACACCCGAGCCACACAGTTTTAAACAACACGATACGAGCAGGAGTGCTTGACAAAGACTCACTTCTACTGACCGACGGCAGAGAACTACAACGAGCTCGAGGAACATGCTTCACCTGCCCCGAAGCAGACTTAACGCATCAACCGTTCCCATCTCACCACAATCCAAGCGCACCAGCTTACGCACCACTCGAAAAGGTGTACAGCGACATCCTGTACAACCGCGAGCCCGGACAAAACGCCTACAATTACACGATTACCTTCATCGACGCCGCGACCAGATACGTCTGGCACGTCAACCTACCAAGCCGCGACATGGCTTTCGAAGCGTTCGTCGCCTGGCTTCCTGCAGCAGAAAGAGAATCGGGCGTAAAACTGAAAAGCTTCCAGTCAGACGGAGGAGGAGAATACACCTCACAGAGGTTCAAGGACTACTTGGCAGAGAGGGGGATCAAGTGACTCATCTCCCTTCCCTACGCCCATCAACAGCAAGGTGTAGCAGAGAGGATGAACAGGACACTCCAAGCCACCATGCGCAAGCTGTTACGTGGCATGCATCTGCCCAACCACCAGTGGCCCGAAGCAATGGACCACGCCGTCATGCTGCACAACTTGCTCTCGTCATCATCGCTCCCGAACAACGCATCACCGCACCTGCTGTGGACAGGAAAATTGGGCAGCACAAAAATGTTACGAGTTTTCGGGTGCATGGTACAGTACCGACCCCCATCTACACGCGCCGGCCAATTCTCCCAGCGAGCACAGTGGGGAGTACACCTGGGCATCGAAAAACACTACAACGCGTGGAAAATCTTCGACATCAACAGTAAAGAAACAGTCGCAGCACGTGACGTCCTTTTCTACGACAACCTCACCCTCGACGTTCACCTCGCCTACGTAAGAGCAAACAGACCTGATCCCTCGGGCGGATTCACTGGAACCCGAGCCTTCGCTTCGGCGGAAGACGAAGCTGACTGGGACGAGCAGAACGTGGACGGAGCCTCGGAAGAAGCCGGACCACTACCGTACTGCTGGGTAGACGTACCAATGGACGACGACAACCCTCGCGAAAGCATCAACGCCGAAGTCTTCTACAAGTTCGCCGACGACGGTTACGTTACACCCGAACAAGTCAACACCAACGAAGCAGAACGTGTAGGGCCCAATTTCGCACCTGATCCAGAAGCTGGAGACGAAGCAGTCTATCCCGAGGACACCACACTCCCTCGCTACACACAGAGTGGACTCCAAATCCTTGGACTCGTCACCGCAGTCCACGGCGCCGACATTCCTAGGGAGCCTGCGACGGTTCAGCAGGCTCGAGGGGGGAGCACAAGGAAAAATGGCGCGAAGCCATGGACAGGGAGCTGAAGGCATTAGAGGAGCGCAACACGTGGAAAGTCGTTCCCGTCGGCGTAGCACAAAACAAGAAAATTCTTACCGGAAAATGGGTCTTCCGAGTGAAGACGAAAGCAGACGGCACCATCGACAAGTTCAAAGCACGCTGGGTCGTACGCGGCTTCGACCAAGAGCACGGGCGCGACTTCACCGAAACCTTCGCTCCGGTCAGCCGCCACACCTCACTCCGAATTCTCCTCGCGATCGCCGCCATGAAGAAGAAGAAACTGCGGCAAATCGACGTCGCGAACGCGTTTCTTTACGCACCTGTGGATGCAGAAATCTTCGTCGAGCTACCGCACGGCTCCAACGGAGAGCCCAACCAAGTCTGCCAGCTGCTCAAGTCGCTCTACGGCATCAAGCAGGCTCCGCGACTGTGGCAACAGTACCTGCACGCTCGCCTCATCCGCATCGGCTTCAAGCAACTCCCGCACGACCAAGGCATGTACCGACTCACGAAGAACGACGACTACGTCCTGCTAATCGTCTACGTGGACGATCTCCTCTACATCGGGTCAACTGACGGCATCACCACCTGGTTCGAAGGGGAGCTGCAGCAAGACCTCACACTCACGGTCTCGCCTACCGTCACTCAGTACCTCGGCCTCAACATCCGAGAAGAAGAGGACGCAATCTACCTCAGCGCCGAGAAGTACGCCGACACCATCGCCAAACGCTTCGGTCTCACACCTGCCACGATCTCCACGCCATATCGCTGCACAATGGGAACTAACAAGGGAGGATCCGCTCTCCTCAAACCAGCCGGCATACGCGACTATCAGAGGAAGCTAGGATGCCTCCTCTTCGCAGCTGTCACCTGCCGTCCCGACCTCTCATATTCCGCAAGCCAACTCGCCACCTACCTCAAGAAGCCCGAAGCAGAACACCTAGCGGAGCTCGACCGCGCTCTTCACTACTTCATCAGCACCCCGACGATCGGCTTAACCTACCACAAGAACGCAACTACACCAACTAAGCTAATCGGCTACGTCGACGCCGATCACGCCGGCGACTCCGACAACAGGCGCTCACGCACCGGCTACATCTACCGCCTCGAACCTATCGGTCCTATCTCCTGGCAGTCGAGCAAGCAGGAGTTAATCGCGCTATCATCAGCTGAAGCAGAATACATTGCACTCTGCTCAGCCACCAAGGAGGGACTTTATCTTCGCGAGCTGCTGGAAGAAGCGAAGTTAGCCGAGTTACCCAACTTCACCCTGTTCTGCGACAACCAGTCGGCAATTCGCATCGCCAACAAGAACGGCTTCGCGAACAGGACGAAACACATCGCCCTACGCTACTTCTTCGTGAAGGACGAGATCGAGAAGGGGAGACTTCAGCTGTCATACTGCCCCACGTCCGAGATGGCAGCCGACTATTTGACCAAGAAGCTCGGAAAGCAGAAATTCGAGTACTGCATGCTGCTGACTGGACAAAGCCACGTCATCAGCAGCGACACTCCAGAAGCGAAGGGGAGTGTTGGAAACAGTGAAACTTAAGCGCTTCAGTCGTGTCGAAACATCGCACCAGAAGTGAAGAAAACAATACCGAAGCAAGCGCGAGTCAACCCTCGGAGGTTGAGAGGTTGCTGGAGGTTACGCGAAAGTCAAAGGTCAAGCGACCTTTGACCTGACAAGTGCAGCGCGACAGTTAAGGACACACAACTGACTCGTTACAGAGCAGTTGCCCGAGTCGTACTGTATCAAACCGCAACAGCAACAGTAAATTAGTTATAACCGTATCTCTTTGTATTCCCTGTACTGTTATATAATCTTGTATCTCTTTGCTATAATCAATCTACTTTGCCCTCACATACTAGCGCAAGGTGGTTCACAAACTCTTCATTAAACGCTTCCGCTATTACAAAGTTCCTACCCAGAGTTCACCCCTGAAAAGATCCTAAGGGCTTTTCTCAGCCCAACAGTTACTTCGTATGTTTGCTTGCTTGTTTGTTTTTTGTCTTGTTTTGTTTTGTTTTGCTTTGTTTTGTTTTTTCTTCTTTCCTTTTCTTGTCTTGTGGAAACGGTACATGAAATTTTATGTGTTTTTGAAGGTTTTTGTTTCTAGCAGTCAAATGGCTCTTCCAGTATAAAAAATGAAGTTTTTTGAAAGTGTGTAACACTTTCTAAAAATGTGTATTTTGAAAGCGAAGCTGCTTGTAATGCAGCAATGGCAACCGCGAAGTGCTAGACGCTCTTCGCCAACTATATAGCAGGGGGTGGAGGCCATTTGGCCTCCACCCACGTCTTCATTTGAAATTTCAACTGCATTATTTCCCACCCACCCACCCTAGCAAAAACTGCATGTTGTAATGTAGGTACCGTATGTATACTTAGCCGGACGAGAATGTTGTAATGCCCATTTGAAACGAAGCACGTTGCCATTGCAAACACAAGAAAGCAAGCTTTCTAAATTATGTAGTTTAGGTATCATCTTGACCATTGCTAAAAGTACCGGTACCGGTACATCTTGATTCATCAAGGAACTGGAATGTTCACCCTGCTCTTGGGACTTGTAGTCAGGACTTGAGTACCGTACTTGGTACTCTTGCACAAGTGAACATCTGTTACCGTACCGTACCATGGGAATAAATAAGCTGCAATGCAACACAACCCAAACGCATGCAGCATTAGCAATGCTAGCTCACCACTCACTCATCAGCAACCTTAGCCTTCTTGATCTTTTTCTTCTTGCGCTTCTTGCCCTTCTTGCTCTTCTTCTTGCCCGAGGCCTTCTTCTTCTTCGCCTTGACCCTCCCTTCCTCTACTGCATCACCCGCCTCCACAGCTTCGCTCTTCCCCACCTTGCCGCCACTCACAATCGCGCTCCCACCATCTCCATCACCCTCATCGCCACTCCTCCCTTGCTCCGTCACAACACCGGCGTCTGTCTCCGCACCTGCACCTTCCACATCGCCACCGCCATGCACTGCACTGCTCTCACTGCCACTCCCCTCCTCCGCCTCCTTTGCCTGCCCTCCCCGCTCAGCACCAGAACCAGTATTGCTCCCCTCCTCGGCCTCCTTACCCCCCTCCACGCCCTTGCCGTCCCCACCACCAGCACCGTCCCCCTCACCCTCATCTGCACCACCCGGCCCCTCCGCATGCCCCCCATCACTGCTTATTTCCTTATCACCCATCCCCGTGCCCTTCTCACTCTCTGTATCACCTGTGCTCCCCACGCCTCCCGTGCCCTCCTCCCCACCATCAGCCAGACTCCCACGCTTACCACTATCCCCGCTGCTTTCGCTCTCGCCCTCACTACCCTCTGCCACACTGCTCGAGCCGCTGTCTTCACTGGCCTCGCTCGTGCCCGTGTCACTTTCCCCGCCATTCCCATCCGCCACCACCTCTTCCCTTCCACCACCACTATCACCACCGCTATCACCACCGCTATCACCACCGCTATCACCACCACTATCACCGCCAGCCTCGGAAGTCAACTTGGTGCTGCCTCCCGCACTTGCCTCTACTTCTCCTCCAGACGACTCCCCACTCTCTTTTCCACGCACCTCCCGCGCCTCCTCGTCTTCTCCGCCATTGTCGTCCGTCCCTCCCCCGCCATCGCCCTCACTACCGTCTTCCCCAGCTGCCCCACCACCGTCACTCCGCCCATGTCCGGCCCCCTTGTCCCCCCCTGCGTCGCTCCCCGCCCCCCCGCCACCTCCGCCACCATCCACCCCACCGCCGCTAACGCGTAACTCCCTCGCCCCCTCACCACCGCCGCTTGTGACATCCCCCCCCCTCCCCCCTCCGCCACCCCCGACGTCGAGCGCGGGGTGCTGCTGCTGCTGCTCGGCGCGCTGCTGCTGCTGTTGCTCCTGGCGCTCCTGGCGCTGCAGGCGGTAGAGGAACAGCAGCGACACCACGAACGCCACCGCCAGCGAGTTCACCAGATACCGCGGCGTGTCGCCGCCCCCGCGCGCGCCGCTGCCGCGCAGCGAACCCCGCCGCAGCCTCATGACGGCCCGTCGCGCGGAATGAATCAAAAGACGAGCGGCGCAGCAGCGAAATTGGCGACGGGAGACATGCCCTGCGGGTGGCGCAGGCGCAAACGCGGCTGACACTAGCGCGGGTCCTGGGGAGGGCGCGAGGTGGAGAGAGGGTGGAGGAGGACACGTGGGAACCGGCGGCGGCAAGGGAAGTGGCGCGGTGCGCGGGATGGAAGGCGACGCGGATGGAAGGCGACGAGGTCCGAAATCTGACTGACGGCCTCCGGGATGGCGTAGTTGAAAAAGGAACAGTGGGATCTCGTAGACAATGTGCGACGACGAGGGATCACGTGAACAATGTGCGACGAAGAGCGACAAAGGAAAATCAACTTCCTTCACTGAAACTGGGCGATTACAATTTTTAGTATCCTAACGGCCCCCTAACAGCCTACCCGTTCAGCCGTGAACCTAAGGGTTAATGGAGGGCGGGAGAGGCGACCAGATGGGCCCGAGAGTGATCTACGCAGCGGACAACCCTGTTGACGGGGAGGGACGAAAGGGGCGCATGAAAGAATGGAGTGGGATTGGAGATGGAGGCGGAGGGAACGATGAAAGCGGAGGGAGATCCAGCCCCGAGAGAGCGATGGTAGGAAGACACTACACCTTGTTCTCGATATTTGAACACCCCATACCCTTTGTATCAAAGATACCCTATACTGACTCAAGCTCGTACGGCAGCCACCCAGAAATTCATTAACTCTCAATCTACAGCCCGTTCATGTAAGAAAAGTTCCTTTTCCTTGATCGGAGTTGAATGCTTCGCATACAAACCCCACTTTTCAGACTTGCATGTTCGGCCGACATAAACGATGACGCAGTTCCGTTGCCATATTGGCTTCACGACAATAGACGCACAGCATCAGCTGATGCTTCGTATGGTCTTCGATGATGGGGCATCGAAATTCCATTTTAAGGGCGCGTTCTTTAGAACAGGCTCGGGACCGTGAACTCCTTCCCAAACCTAACAAGAACTGTGCTATGCGGAGATGACTAATGCGCGCAAAGAAAGCAGAACCAGCAATGTGCTCGGAACCTGATGTGAACCATCCCTTCACAAGCAAACCTGATGCGCTGCACTATAATGCCAATCCCCGCGAAAAGGGGGGATCCTGGCATAGAAAAAAAAAAAAAAAAAAAAAAAACGTCGTTAGAAACTCGACCATGATGCCCAGAAATGTCAAATGTTGTAGCCTTTGGTGATGCGTGTCATATAGGGTATGGTAGTTAGGGTTAGGTTTATGTACCCCAACCCACAATAGTCAATCATCATTAAGTTTCTGACATGGTATCACCTAGGTTAGGATCCTGTCGAATCCCGTCCCTCTCCCTAACGCCCGTAGCGCTCTACCGTCGAGCACGTACCGTCCCCTAGCGCCCGTTGCACCCGTACCCATCCCCTAGCGCCTGTCGCGCTTGCCTGTCCCGTCCCGTCGCGTCGCATCCGTCCGGCTGGCCAGTCGCGTCACGCCTGTCTGTCCCGTCCTATCGCGTCGCGTCTGCCGCCCCGTCCCGTTGCGTCGCGCTTGTCCCGTCCCATCCCCGCCCGTCGCGCCCTGTGCCTAGCCCGTCCGCGCGCGTTACGCTCTGCTTGTCGCGCGCGAGTTGCGCCCTGCTCGTCCCCCCGTCCGCTGGCGTTACGCCCTGCCCATCGCGCGTGCATTACGCTCTGCCCATCCCGCCCGCTGCATCCTGCCCGTCCGCGCCTGTCGCGCCCTGCCATTTGTGCCCGCTGCGCCCAGCCCGTCCGGTCATGCCGCGCCTGCCCTTTTCACCGCGCGGTGCCCGTCTTGTTGCGTCCCTCCCTTCTCGCCACGTGCCGCACTGCTTGCCGCGCCCTACTCCGGCTTTCTAGGCCATTTTCCCCTGTCATTTCTCCACGCTTCCGCTATGGCGACTCCTAGAGTCCTCCCTTTTGACGCTAAGGGTAGGCCACTTGAGTTCTCTGTTTGGCTCCTGTGTGCGCAATGTCTCCTAGAGAGTCATGTTCAGACAGACGAGGTTCTGTGAGCGCACGCTTCTGGTGACCTGCGTGCGCCCCCCGATCCTAATTCCTTGGGCGCTGACGCCACCACTGCGGACTGCATGATCGTGTTGCACATCAGCGTGCTGTCTTGACTGTCTGGAAGTCACGCGACGCTGCTGCCTGTATTGCCCTCAGCAGCCTCCTCCCTGGGTCTGAGGAGACTCACTTCACCCAGGTTCGCACGGCCAGTGAGTTCCTGACTGCGATCAAGGCCCGCTACGCTACTCCCACCACAATCTCTCTTGATCACCTATTCCTCCCCTTCCTGTTTCCTAACCTTGCCTCGTTTGAGCGCTCTGTTGACTTAATCGCTCATCTGCGTCCACTGGATTCTAGCTACCGCGCTGCCTGCACTGACGCACAGCTTGCACTGCTCACCCTGGACTCTGGAGCTTCGCACTGTTTCTTCCGCGACCACACGACTCTTACTCCGCTTCCTGCACCGGTCTCTGTAGCACTGGCTGATCCCACTTCGGGACCAGTCACTGCTCGCTACACTACTACGCTTCCGTGCCCGGCTGTTCCCTCGGGTTTCCTGACAGGCTTTCACGTCCCCTCGTTCTCCAGGAACTTGGTGGGTGTGAGGCGGCTTGTGGACAGTCATGTGGGTTTTTGAATCGAGCCTTCTGGGGACTTTGCGACCTGTGTAGACAGTGACATGTACGCGCTCCTGGCCACCTTTCACGCTAAGCCGGGCCCTGGTCTCTACACACTTTACACTGGCCCCCGAGAGAGGCGACAGCAGCAGCAGCAGCAGCAGCTGCTGCTGCCTCTGACCCCTTTCACTGCCCCCCGTCAGGTCCCCGCGTCTCACCAGGTTGCTGCCTCCCACCAGGTAGCTGTGTCTGGTAGGGTTCCGGCATCTGGTCCAATTGCTGCGTCTTGTTGGTGTTGGTCGCTTGCCCACTCCACCGTTCTGTACCACCACCGCCTTGGTCTGTCAGAATGTTATATTTCTATAGTGAGTACAGCCCTGTTAGGGTTTGCTATATGTATCCCATTGTTTGCTAGTGAAACCCCTCTTTTGCCTATTCTCTCTTGCCTAGCTAGCTAAACCCTAGCTATGGCTCCTGCGTTCTAGCTACTGTCTAAACATGGTATACGAGCGGTTACGCTCCTGGCATGTAGGCCGGCCTGCTTCCGCTACCATACTGTCTGGCGCGCGACGTTCTTTTTTCTTCCCGCCATGCGCTCGGGGCGCGTGGCGGTTTTCTGCCCTCCACGCGCTCGGGGCGCGTGGCGGTTTCCTGCCCGCCGCGCGCCCCGGGCGCGTGCGGCGATTTCGTGCTCCGTCCCGCGCGCTCCCCCCCGTCGTCCGTCGCGGCGCCCAAGAGGACCCGCGCGTCGCCCCTCATCGCCCATCGTGGCGCCCCCAGGGACCCGCGCATCCCCCCCGTCGCCCGTCGTGGCGCCCCCCAGGGACCCGCGCGTCGCTCCCCGTCGCCCGTCGTGGCGCCCCAGGGACACGCGCGCCGCCCCCCGTCGCCCGTCGCGGCGCCCCCAGGACACGCGCGCCGCCCCCCGTCGCCCGTCGCGGCGCCCCCAGGGACTCGCGCATCGCCCCTTGTCGCCCGTCGTGACGCCCCAGGGGACCCGCGCGCCGCCCCTTGCCCTGTGCGCCGCGGGGCTGCTTCCTCCCCGCCCCTCCCCGTTCTCCTTCCTCTCCCTCTTACGCATGCAGCTCTGGGGGTGGCGAGTATGGGGGTGGCATGTGTGTGAGTCGTCCCCTGCTCCTCCTCCTCCTCCATCTCCCACTGCTGCAGCTGTCGCTGAGGGGGGTGGATGTGTGGGAGACGAGGGAGTGGTGCTAGGGGGTGGACGTGGGAGTGAAGCTAGGGGAGCATAAGGGGGTGTGTGAAAAAGGGGCTCTGCGACAGTGGGGGAGGTTGAACGGAGGTAGCCGTTGTGGAGCCCGCCGCGCCAGTAGTCCGGACGTCGCTGCTCCGGTAGCCAGCGAGCCAGTTGCACCGGTTGCCCGTGGGTCCGTTGCTGCAGCCGCTCGTCGAAGCCACGGAGCCAGTTACTCCAGTAGTCCGGACGTCGCTGCTCCGGTAGCCTGTGTGCCAGTTGCTCCAGTCGCCCGTGTGCCAGCAGCTTCAGCCGCCGCCTCCACACTCCTCTCCTCGCACTGTCTCTCCTCCTCCTCCTGTACGAGTCCTTTGTGTCTCCCACTAGCTTTGCTTGTGCGTATAAATTTATTATGTGACTGTTTGCTATACTGATTCTACCCCACTTTGACTATGGGGGTGTGTTAGAATGTTATATTTCTCTAGTCTGCAGTGGGGTACTCTATAGTGAGTACAGCCCTGTTAGGGTTTGCTATATGTATTCAATTGTTTGCTAGTGAAACCCCTCTTTTGCCTATTCTCTCTTGCCTAGCTAGCTAAACCCTAGCTATGGCTCCTGCGTTCTAGCTACTGTCTCAACAAGGTCACTCGTCCATTCCTCGCCTGCGCACTATGTCTAGTCAGCGTCTTGTCTTAGGCTTCCCGAGAGTCTTGTAGTCGCTGCCGCCTTCGCTTGCACCACCTTGCGCCCCTTGCGTCGAGGGTCGGCTGCGTGCCACCCCTTACTCCTCCTCCCTTCGTCTGGCCACAGAGCCCTTCGAGGCTCTCCACTTGGACGTATGGGGCCTTGCGTCTCGCCCTGGTCATGAGCGAGAGAGTTTCTTTCTGGTGGTCGTTGACGACTACTCTCGCTACACCACAGTGTTCCCCCTGGCGAAGAAGTCAGACTACGCTCATCCAGTGGTTACTCACCACTAAGGGCACTCGTGGACGTCGTGTCAGTTGTCTTTACTCCGACCGTGGGTGAGTTTCGCTCCGGCGTTCTCGCCAGATTCTGTCGCGAGCAGAGCATTCGTCAGTCCTGAACACTTCCAGAATCCCCACAGTAGAATGGGGTTGCTGAGCGCCGCATAGGCTTGGTCATGGATATCGCACGCACCTCCATGATTCACGCCTGTGTGCCCCATTTTCTGTGGCCCTACGCGGTTCGGTACGCCGCTCACCAGCTGAACCTCTGGCCACGTGTCTCCCGACCACGGGCTTCATCAACCAGTCTTTGGATTGGGTCCCTGCTGCAGACCCTGAACGGGTGCTGATGTCAATATCGCGGACCCTTGAGGCGCTACCACTGGAGGTGTTGGAGTTGGAGCTGAAAGTGTCCCTGCACGAGGTCCTGGTGCTGGGGGTGCTGGAGTTGGAGCTGAGCCCAGGTCTACAGGAGGTTCTAGTCTTTGGGGAGCTGGTGCTAATCGAGCTGTCCCTGGGGATGCTACGACTAGGGTTCGGGTGCGCCCTCTACGGGCTCTGGAGAGTCTAAGATTGGACGAGTTCCTGCTGGGTGTGCAGGCTCAAGGGGTGGTGCGACTGGTGCTTTGGAGAGCGGTCCTAGGGCTACCACCACCCCGGACACTACTCCTCCCCCCCACCCCTACCCGACCCGGCACCAGGCCCGTCTTCGCCGTGCACGTGAGGAGCAGCTGGAGTTGGAGCGCGAGAGGCTAGAGTTGGAATGGCAGCAGTTGGAGCTACAACAACTGGAGTAGTAGCAGCAGCATGATCAGTAGCCACTGCAGCAGGGACAGCAGCAGCCGCAGCTGGAGGAACAGCAGCAACAGCAGGATCAGCAGCCACCGCAGCAGGAGCAGCAGGAACAGCAGCAGCAGC